CCCCCCCCCCCCCTTTGACCAACTTTAGGACCGGGGACATTGGCTTTCGAGGACGTAGGCGAAGATTTAGGGAGGTAGGCGATGAAGATGATAAGTGCAAATATATGCGATTGCGGCAATGCACGGCAACAACAACAGCATTGTACAAGGAGATTACCGATATCGTAGCAAAGTACTCACCTTACTTCCTTAACAGCAGAGGATGTCGTTGCCCCTGTCAACTCCCTACCAGACAAACCCGACGGCGCATGTCCCACCCCACGTCCGAAATTTGCAGGAAAAAACAACGTATGCTGCAATCTTCCGGGGAAACAACGGTAACCGTGATTCTTACCTCCAAGTGGCGCAGCTCGACGGTTGGGACTTCACGGTGGAGTCGGTGACGGCTTCAGAATTGGACAAGATGAAAGGCTCCGAAGAGGAGACGCATCCGATTTATTCCGTGGACTCGCGGTCCGCTAGTGCGGTGGGTGGCCGTCACTGCCCAGCAATAAAAAAAAGACCACAGTGTTGATACGTTGCCCTTGGACAGGCACACGCAATTCGTTTCGAGAATGGGAGTATTCACTGACGACCGCGTCGTCTAAATCTGCTAGGCACCATCCATGCTATGATCCATTGGGATCCGCATACCCTCTTGAGATAGCATTGCCCCCAGGACCAACAGATGGATGTCTCGAACCGCTTGGTTATTCCTGCAGGGCTGTGCTTCCAGCCTGGACCCCGCGGTTGGTGAATACATCGAGGAGATGCTGTCGCTGGCAGAGGGGTACGAATACATAGGGTGCTTCCACGACAAGTCACCCATGGACGAAAGGGATATGGCGCTAAGTTCGAAGAGGGAGTTCGCTCAGAACAAGCCTAGCATGTGCGCGGCCCGATGTGCCAAGGAGGAAGGCGCCACCTTTTTCGGCCTTCAAAATGGTGGCTTGTGAGTGGCTCATGGGTTGAGAGGTTTTGAGGCAACACAGGTGGACCTGAGCGGGCGCTGATCGGAGCCATTTGCGTACATTCATCTGCAGCAGGAACGAGGGGTTAAAATGGTCACTACGGGCCACGCGCTCACGGCGCGCCTCACTCCCGCGACTTTTCCCTTCGTCCCCCCTTTTCAACACCCACAACTTCCAAGAAGATTGACATATGCGCTTGTGGCAACCGTGAGGGGAGCTCCATCCTGCGTCTTCTTTTCGCGTTGGCACCACTTTCATTGTTGCCCTGTGGTCGAAATCACACCCAAAAGTTCTTCCGTTGCCCTACCCCTTGGATCCGAACTCGAGTTGAGTCTGGAACCATGAACTTGATCCGGCACCGTCATTGCACCGAAAAAGTTGATTGTGACACGCCGTTCCATATTCTCATCGCTTTCTTGACGCACAATGAGCAACGCAGCTGTACTGGCGACCTTGTCTGTTTGTCTCGCTCGCCAACGCGGATCGCGTACACAAGCTCTACAACAACGTAAACTGAACTTACTTGTATGTTCCGTCCCAATAGATGCTGGTGTGGCGGGATGGGTGACACAGGCCCCGGGTCGCACGGTGAGGCGGACACCTGTGACAAGCCCTGCCCGGGCGAAAATGGCGTCGCGTGCGGCGGCAAGAAGTGAGCCTTTGCAAGTTACCGTAGTTAGAGTGTAGTGTTCTGGTACATTCACTCTCCCATGACGTTGCGCGGCTGAAGTATGACACCGGCCCATCGCCCGTCCGTGTGGTCTCATTGCGCGTTGATTGTTTAGGTTGCTTCTGTGTGTGTTCGCCTGGTGCTGCGGGAAGCATTGCAAACGTTAATGGTAGTGGATGTCACGTTGGGAACTGGTCTTTGGGCCAAATTCCATGCGTGAGCCGAGGGTCATCCCGACAAAGACCGACGTACTCGTGTCCGTAGTCAAAATGATTGATGAATCATATTGGATTTTTAACGGCCCTTGCGTAGAAACAAGACCCATTCGTACTACGAAAATCAAGTTACGTCTTGAGGGTATCCGAGTTGTGGTGGCGCCACTGGATTCAACACACGTATTGGAACTAGCCCCGTTAAGTAGCACATGCCGTGTTAACAGTTGGAAACATGGCCTGTACGATGTACGTGGGAAAGGTTGTTGTTGTGAGGAATGGTGACACGTCGAGAAAGAAATTTGACCTTTGCGTGTGGGAAGTGATTCGAACGTGAAATCTCCTACGGGGAAATACTATGAGGTAGTGTACACTACAATCTTGAACGATCAGAGAGGATCAGTCTCTGCGAATTCTGTAAACAACGTGCGTTTCACCTGTCGGCAGGGTAAGCAGCGTGTACGTCATCCCTGTGGAACACACGTACGTCGGCTGCTTCCAAGACAAGAAAGGCGATCGGGATCTACTCCTCGTCCCCAAGGTATGAAGTATGCTGGCGTTGGTGTGACCTCCTACTGCCACATGTGAGGGGAATATTACTGGACGCAATTGTCTCTTTGCAGGCTCCAACTGTATGTGACTTTTGGAGATTCACGACCAGATTCCGGTAGGCATGCATGATAAGGCAGTGTGGCCCTTCTCTGGCGTTCATTTGCGTCTGGAAGCAAGCTGCGGACCCAAATGCCAAGGGTGCCGTAGATTGCACTGAGTACCTCGATTGGAGAATGTACGCTTCGTCGACGTATCTCACACACGAGCAAGGCGGCGCCACTGGTGAAGGTCGCTTGAAGCGGTCAGAGTCACCCAATCAAGGAATGTTCTGCTTCTCCGTCGCATTTGAAGGATGCACGGTCGTTGCCCTTTAGGGACCGGTGGCACAGATCCTCGCTGTCGCGAAGTGGACTGTCACAGCGTCATTTTGAGCGAAACCCCCTGAAGAAAACACAACTCTCGAGGGTGGATGTGTTCTATATTATCGTCTGTGACGGGCAACATGAAAAGAACATCATGACCACTCCTCCTCTGAAATACTACATACCACGGGCTTCTCGAAACGCCTGATGACCGGCGGTACCGAACGCCAAGAAGCAACGACAACAATATCATCAACATCAACATTAAATAACGATCATCATCAACAACAATAATGTTCTTTACCTGCACCACCACCAACAGGTGGTGTCTTCCTACCTCACGCCGGCGGCCTGTGCGGCCTACTGCTCCTCCGTCGAGGGGGCCACGTACATCGGGGTACAGTCCGGCCGCAAGTGTTTCTGCGGGGACTCGTTCGGGAAGCACGGCCAGTCGACCCTTTGCAGCGAGCCCTGTTACGGCGACGAAGACCAGGTTTGCGGAGCGCATAACGTCAACAGCGTGTACGCTCTTCTACCTGAGGGTAAGGTCGATCGAACCCCGTCGAACGCGGGCATCCAAGACCAGGAGGTAGTGTGCGGGGGGAAGCGCTGCGGCTGCTTCCTGAACGAGAGCCTGGGAGACTCCCTGTTGTCTGGCGGCAACCAATTCGATAGGTGTGCAAGGACACGCATCGATAAAAGATGCACACCCCTTCAGACCGTTTTATTGGTGACGTTGATTCCTCTTCCTCTGCTGCTTTGCCTGGACCGGGTGCATCCTCTTGCACCAGATGCCCAGTAGCATGAGATGAAATTGGTGGACGTATCGCTCCAAGTTGTTTGCGAGTGTTTCCTCACACTTGGTCTGGCGTTCGGTGGTGGTTCTCGAGCTGAGTGTGGCTTTGGAAGGCAAGGTGTGCCTGCAGATACCGCCCAAAACTTCTTCTGGCATCGCTCGTGCCCGCGACATATTTCAAAATCTACCCGCGCAGTTGTATTTATTATTTGGCGATATAAACCACGAAAGGCGTGCAAGCTTACGTCTCCCCCAGCACTCCCCCCCCCCCAGATATCAGCACCACTGCTCCTGTACCTCTACAACCTCACACCGTGGCCCCACCCGTGCCTGCACTTTGCTTTTCCTTCGCCTCTGCTGCCGCAAAACATGTTTTCACGTTTCACCCCAAAAAACTCGCCACAAAACAGCGAGGCACTGTCCCGAACATCCTGCAAGGAAGCTTGCGAGCAAAGTGGCTTCCCGTTCTACGGCCTTGAATGGTCAATCATCTGCTTCTGCGGCGGAAATAAGACGACCAAGGGCAAGTTCATCGAGGGAATCGAGGCGTACCGGCTGGCTGACGATACCGGGGCGTGCGACATGCCTTGCCCGGGGAATGCGGAGGACACCTGCGGCGGGCACGGTGCGGTAGAAATTTGGGAGGTCTGATAGTCGATTCTTGCGTCAACGTACTTGAACATCGGAGTGGACTACCAGGTATATCGGTTCCGGATTGGGTTTCGGGTTAAATCCTGGCACGGTGGGCGTGGTGAAGGGACCCCTAAGCGGCGCTCTTCTACCGGCGTGGTACAAACCTCCAAGAAATCGGTGGACAGGGTGGTGCATGAGGTGAAGCTTTGTACCTTACCTCCCTTTGCCTTTGTAGCTGGATTCTGGGATAAGTCAAGGTAGCGAGATGCTGAAGCCCGCCGCTGAAACATTGACGTTTTCTCGATTCAAGTCTTGGTGAATTAGACTAGGTGTAGGACGCAGGGCGACCCCAGCGTCTGGCATGAACTACATGTATCAGTTGCCCGGCGGTATCGAGCCTCTCAGTGTAGGCTTCCACACAAACAACGTATCGACGTAGATTGGTAGAGCAAACGGCGGTCGCTATTCGCCACACCAAGCGGCCGTTATTTGCGATTGTATTCGCGCTATGTTACTGTAGGTGTGCCAAAGGGACAACATTCCCGGTACACGTCAAGTATGGAGAGTAGATGTCACCCAAGGCTTCATATTCACGAGAGAGTCACACCTCACGGCCTTTTTTGAACACAGCGATTTGATGAGAACTATTGAGTCACGGTAAGATGTACGTTGGAAAATTGTCGTGGTCACGTGGGGAATCGGAGGGAAGGATATCGTGTGCTCATCTCGTTTAACGCAAGTGCGACGAACAAGTGTCCTAGGTATCACCAGGGTGTAGTAGTCTAGGCTTGAACACTGTTCCAGACGTACGGGAGGTCTCCCGCAATTCCGCACCACTATACGTCTCCCTCAGGGATCTCGCATATTCGTTTTCCCTTGAACAGGTCTTGCCCCATTTCTTGTCGATCACGCAGGGTTTTCAATTCACTCCTCGTACATGGCACATTGTATTGGGTGTATGGTTCGGTCGAATGGACAGAATGTAAATAATAGAAAGCGTTATGTTGGCTCCATCGTTCAAAGGCCGGTTATGGAGTGTGGGCTGATACGAAATTGTTGCATGTGAACGCCGCAACCTTCTTAAACCGGCAACAAGACGTGGGCATGCCGTGCATCTCGGTAGATTCGATTCCACGGGGACGCCTTGAACGAGGAGGACGGCCCAATAGGCTGCTTTGACTGATGAACTCGTCTTCTTTGACTGTTCGGTCCCAGATTATGTCGAGCTTGTGCGCAACTCAAGAGGTTCAGCAGTGTTTCCCTGCACTGTGCGAGATCTGTGCCCCAAGAAAATGCGTACTGAGTGAGGTTTCCATCCACGCCTAGGTTCTCGAACTATTGTTGGTATGTGATCTTGCTTCATGCGTGTGACATGTGCGACTCACACAACAACCGAAACAGAGACGCGTTCCAAAGGCGGACTTGAGTGAGGCCCAGGGACCGTTGTTGCGTTGTTGTCAGCATGGTGCTGCGAGGAAAGTTCATGACGACACGATGCAATCTTAGAGCAGAAAACTTGTTTGACTTACTACTGTTAGGGCAAACCTTGCCACCAGTCGGTCGTAACGACGGTGCGGGTGGCAACCTCCAATAACAGCATTATTACTGGTATTCTGGCTTGGGCCAGGAGTTCGAGATTCGTCGAGGTGTAGTTTTTCCGGATTTCGTGCCTGTGGTAGAGTGGAACGGTTATTCGTGGTAAGGACGCTGCGCCTTTCTCGCGTCAACATGTGGACTGCGAGGTTTTCTTCTGTCATTCCATAGTATCCCTGGACCATTTTGCCATTGGAACTTGCATGAAGGTGCTACTGATCTCCGAACAACACAAGGGTATATTCCGATATTTTCCTTGTGAGAAACAGGCTCAACAAGACGGTTAAGTTTGGTGGCCATCTTGGCATGGGGCTACCTTCTGTGCACTGTGAGGGTGTGCCATTGAGTGACATGTGTGCATGAAATGGATCTTATGTATGGGATGGGTGGGCATTGGGAATGCGGCGGAAATACTTCCGCGGGGAAGGTGGCAGCCGTGTGCCCCGAACGTTTCGTCGACGGGCTAAATTGACTAGGTAGACACACAAGTCATTCCAGCGTCCAAGGTGTTCTCAGGTTGTAGATTGGACGAGGCTTCAATTTGATAGCAACAAGTATTTGTCGCGCGAATGCATCAAGATCGGAGCAATATTAGGTGTCAGGAGCACCTGCTGCTCGCTCGTGTTTCGTGCTTGAGACGGCTGATCACCGACACAGCCAATCGTTGACGCCGGAGGCATCAATCAAGCTCAAACTTGCTGATGGCGTCATAATGTAGCGCAGGACGGCCGATTGGATGGTTCATCACGCCTCGGGGGTCCGGCACAAAAAATGCGTGGTTCGGAGCTTCCGAGTGAACGAAATCAGACAGACCGACACAGTTTTTCTTACCCTTCAGTGAGACCTCGAGAGATCGTAGCGGTCTCTTCGAGGAATTTTCTTTTTACTCCGTGTCTTCACCATCGTCGAAGAGAACTTGACCCTGGGGTGAGCCACAACGATTTCTTAATGTCTCTTCGTCGAAATACGCCGAGCAGCAACTGCACTCTCGTGTCTTCCTCTGATTGTAGGCATCTGTCCACGATACTGTTGCAGCAAATATGGCAAGCTGTCGCTGCTGCTGTAATGGAATATCACCGAGACCTTCTTCTTGGTGGGGTACCAACGCTCATGACTCACGATGGAGTTTCGGCAGGAATTCAAGGTCTGGTTTGGAACACCATTTTCGCCTCGGCCTCCGACCTACTACGTGCACATGTACCAAAGACAAGTACCAAAGACAAATTATGTTTTCTCCAAGGTTCAAGCTTGGTGTTGCTTCTAGGGCACCACCACATCATTTTCTTTTACAATCATGCTAAAATTGTGGAATGCACCGGTCACTTCCTATGATGGTATATATTAGGGTATTGTGCACTATTTGCACTATAAAATCTATAAAATAATGTAAATCCCGAACCGTTCTCTGCCATCTTCAACTACATGGCAAACAATAGTTTTTTGTGTTCGTCAACGTCGTCGAGTCCACGATGTTGAATGATTCTTCCTCCAAGTGCCTGTCGGATTGTTCCAGATTGCTAGCGTCAGCGTGAATAGAAACCTTCGACGATGGACCCAGGTTCAAGACAAGGGCAATCAATCGTAGCGTAGGATCAACCATGGTAGTCGAATCGAATGCGTCACAATTGTTCACAAAATCTCAAGCACATGGGGCCTGCTCTTTCTGCGAATCATTGCCGTTGGCGTCGTGCCTGAACAGACGCACGCCCTGGGACCAACATATATCAACAAATTCTGTCGTCCAAAATGCGATGGTTGGGTGATGGAACGAAAGTTGTCTTGGACCCCACAGTGTTGTACAGAGTTTGAACATGGCGCTTTTTGTGTTATGATGTTTGGTAAAAATAACGACATGCAGTTCCATGAACTTCCATTAAATATTTTATGGAATTCCATGGAACGTTCAATGAAATTCCATGAAATTTCATGGACTTCCATGCACGGCACGTCCATGGACTTCCATGGACTTTCATGGACGTTCACGGACTTCGATGAACATTTTCACGGGCGCTCATGGACTTGTACAAAAGTCTTCATGGACGTCCATGGAACATTCCACGAACTTCCATGGTATTCCATGGACTTCCACGGACCTTCATGGAAGTTCGTGGAAGTCCATGGAGGAAGTGTTTCATGAACATTCATGGGCATTTATGAACATTCATGAATCATGCAGGATGCCCACGGAATTCATTTCTCCAACACCATTTCGGCTTCGCGGAGATGACGTGGACGTCCGTGGAAATTTTCATGGAATGCCGCCATGAAACGTTTAATGGAAATACATGGAAGGCTTCCATGGACTTCCATGACAGTTTTGGCTGCTTTCATGGAATTCCTTGGACTTCCAAGAATTTCCATGGAAGTCCATAGACTTTCCGTGGAAGTCCGTGGAAGTCCATGGAAGGCCAGACTCTCATGGACTTCCATGGACTTCCTTGGAAAAAAGTACTATGATGTGTATGACTGCATGGAAGTCGCTCTCAATCCTCCCGAAGGACGTCCGTCCATGGAAGCTTGTTCGTGCCGTTCCCATCGAACAAGGCATCAAGGCCAACCTTCCATGGGAGTTCCCCATACAGAATTTTCCAGCTTCCTCCATCCATGGAAGCGTTGTGTGTCAGGGATATCGTCGTGTCCATGTGTGTGTACAGTAGCGAAGATCTATCACGACGGAAGAAGCGCTGCAGCCAACTTTAGTAGTACCCTAGTTATGACATGAACACTGTGTGTGCACGCTACAGGGTATCAGCAGCCACCTAGCTAGCAGGCGCATGCAGTTTTTTGTAGTCAGATACCACACGCTGTATGACACGCTCCCGTACAGGGCTGTCAGCGAACGGTCAGAATAGTAATTGGTGAACCCCAAGGTAGGCGGTCGACTATTTGGGGTCCCTAACAGCAGGAATTGGGATCGAGAGCTGGCCCACGCGCCTCTCCCCCTCACTCTCATATTCTACCATCATTCTCTGACCTTTGAGTCAGACGTTGACAACGACATCACCACAGCTCCCACGGGCGGCATCGAAATAATCGTAATTATGGACTTCCAATCCTAAATCAAAGCTAGGCAGATCGTTACATGACCTTGTTAATTTCCCAGGTGGAAGCACTTCGTTCTATACAGCGTTCGTTTGTGAAAAGTTCATCTACAACGACGCCCAGGTTTTCCGTGGATGAAGTGTTCCGCACCACCTCTTCCATAAACGCATGCTCTCTTGTATCTTCCATGGAATAAAATAATCTCACTTGGGACTCTGCGTGTGTGTATGTGTGTGTTCTTATTATTAGCATCGACCGCGCCAACCGGCTGATCAATGAGAAGACGTCAGTCTCAGTGCTGAAAACACAAAACACTTCAAAATGCCATTAACTGGGACCCCGTGAGGGGTCAGCATGGGGGAGGCTAAACTATTTTTCGGATCAAAGACAGAAACGTTAGAAACAGAATATACTGCACGCGTCTACCAAGGCAATTACCTTGTACTCGAGGGCATTTAAGAGTACTTTCTGTTTTCGCTACCATCATTCTGATAAACATTTTGACTATCTTCGACAGTTCTTCCCTAGCCCTGCGTCTTTTGTTCTGGGGAAGGTCATCCTGCTCAAACCCTTTGCTCTCTTCCACTCCTTCATGCTTTCCTCCTCCATCGTCGTCTTCGTCCTCCTTTCTTCCCCGTGTGTGTTTAGAGCAACAATAAAGCTTCATCGGTGTGGGGGTGATCATGTCCTACCAGTGAGACGTGGACGAAAAATACACACGAAGGAAAGGACTCCTGGCAGTCCGCTTCATCCCCGCGGCCTCACGGTGATGGGTGAAGCAGACTGGGCCGCGGTTTTGTTCGCACGAGGGTAGGTTGGTTGAAGGGCGAGGGACTCGAAGACCATCGGTGGCAGATGACGGCAAACGCCCTCGTCGGGTAACAGAAGATGGTGTGATTGGCAAAGATCGAGGTAGAGGTGTATTGGTATAGACACACCCGTAGCAATCCCTGAAGACCCTGGTGAAGACTCACTTGTTGATTTATCTCTTTGGATAGCAGTGCATCCTGATTCCTAGCTCTCTGTGGTAGACTGAGCATGTGGGGGCAGACCAGCTCCCTCTAACAGGGGTTACAAAGGTCCTGTCCCCTGCTTTACCCTTCTCGAGCGATTGATGCCTGAACAGCGTCAGGGTTTTTCTCGCGTGTGGAATAGCTCCCCTGCCATCTCCGTGAGATTTCTGCTGATCTTCACGGTCCGGGTTGGACTTCTGAGGGCATCACTGCGCTTGGTAACGTCTTGTGCGAGTATCATGATGTCTTCTCGAGTTCCCCAACCGATTTTGGATCTTGTTCGCTTTTTCCTTTCAAGCTTACAGTTCCTCCAGGCAGTGCACCCGTCATGTCTCGTCTGATCGATAATTCGGGTGGCTAAGTTTTGTGTGATGGGAGTGTAGAGTAGCTCGGCCATGAGGGGCCTGAGGGGTAGGTAAAGTCGTACAGACGTGTGGGAAAATGTGTTGTATTCATCGGGGGCGTGCTTGAGCTCGTCATTCCATCACGGCATCAAGTCACGCATAACGCTTAAACACCCAAAACGAATCTCCATGAATGTCCACCAATCTACCACACTCCCAAGGAAAACATGAAGAAACTTCTTGTTCCTCCGTAGTTCGTCACTGCAAATCCCGCATATGTATACGCAACATACCACCCCCATGCTATGCTACGAGTATATCGAAAAGCCCCCCTGCTCGCATGCATCGTCATGCTCCGGCAAAATATCAAAGTCATCCTTCTCATACCAGTTCATCCCAAAACACAATCAAAACCAAGACAAAATTCGAAATCCCAACACCAAAACAATACGTCCGAAAATAATCAATCGCACACCAACTGTTCCAAATCACCAAGAAAAATCCCAAACACTAACTCTCCAAAACACTACCATCTCCACTTGGCTCCCTTCATCTCTTGTTCAAACCCGTACATGTCCTCTCTCTTCCACTCCGCGGCAAAACACGATTTGATCCCAAAACACTTCTTTCACCGCATATTCATCACAAAGTCTCTGTGCAACGCAAAAGATTCCTTGCTGATAGCCTTCGTCAAGAAANGCTCCCTTCATCTCTTGTTCAAACCCGTACATGTCCTCTCTCTTCCACTCCGCGGCAAAACACGATTTGATCCCAAAACACTTCTTTCACCGCATATTCATCACAAAGTCTCTGTGCAACGCAAAAGA